TCTTTTTTGTTGTCAGGGTTTGTCAAGCAGGCATGATTTCATCAGACCGTACATCGTGACCAGAGCGGAGGGATTTAACCAGTATTACTAAGATTTTTCAGGCGTTTGAAATGTAAGTATAGGGAGCCCTCTCTTGACTGATGTGATATGTTTAAAATAAATGTGCGGAGCGCCCTCTCTTGACTTGTCAGGTTTTTCAAATGTAAAGTTTTTCAAATGTAAATAGGCCTACCGGCATAAGGAAGTTTTTGAAGAAATTTAAGGTCGACAACAGCTTTGCATGCCTGCCATACCGATATGACCTCATGCGTGTTTTGGGTGTAAGAAAATGACAAGTTGGGTGGCACAGCTCGTCCGAGGCCATAACTCGATGGTTTATGCACGACGGCACAGTCTGGTTTCCTGACGTCCATGTACGGTTCCCAGTGATATGTGGTTTGTGCTCAATAATCAAGCAAGGTAAGCCTTAGACAGGCTGTAGTGTTTTCTCTGTTAATTGTTCAGCGCATTGGGTTTGTGTAAAATGCGCTTTATAAAAATGGTTTATTATTATTATTATTATAGGGACCTTTATATTGGTAAACTTTGAGTGCCAATTGTTTGTATAGGTTGCCACAAGAGCATTATTTGAAGCCACGGTGGTTGGAGTTTGTGTAGTTGAGGACACCTCCGTTTTTTTGTTATTCTTAAAAAACGTTTTGTCACTCCCCCAAACTGTGCAACTAATTATGCTGACCCTAATTTTTATGCCCCGCGGCGAAGCCGAAGGGGCATACTGTTTCCGCCTCGTCCTTCCGTGGGTGGGTGGGTGGGTGTGTGTGTCCGGACAAATCTTGTCAGCGCGATAACTTGAGAAATACTTAACATATGAACTTCAAATTTGGTTTGTGGATTGTTCTCGGTAATCCTAAGAAGCCTTTTGCATTTGGGGCCAAAAGGCCAAAGGTCAAGTTCACAGTGGCTTAAACAATAGAAATCTTGTCAGCGCGATAACTTGAGAAATACTTAACATATGAACTTCAAATTTGGTTTGTGGATTGTTCTTGGTAATCCTAAGAAGCCTTTTGCATTTGGGGCCAAAAGGCCAAAGGTCAAGTTCACAGTGGCTAAAACAATAGAAATCATGTCAGCGCGATAACTTGAGAAATACTTTACATGTGAACTTCAAATTTGGTTTGTGAATTGTTCTTGGCAATCCTAAGAAGCCTTTTGCATTTGGGGCCAAAAGGTCAAGGGTCAAGTTCACAGTGGCTAAAACAATAGAAATCTTGTCAGCGCGATAACTTGAGAAATACTTTACATGTGAGCTTCAAATTTGGTTTGTGGATTGTTCTTGGTAATCCTAAGAAGCCTATTGAATTTGGGGCCAAAAGGTCAAGGGTCAAGTTCACAGTGGCTAAAACAATAGAAATCTTGTCAGCGCGATAACTTGAGAAATACTTTACATGTGAACTTCAAATTTGGTTTGTAGATTGTTCTTGGTAATCCTAAGAAGCCTATTGAATTTGGGGCCAAAAGGTCAAGGGTCAAGTTCACAGTGGCTAAAACAATAGAAATCATGTATTTATTCTGAGATTATAGGGATTAGGGATTAATTCATATAAAACCTATGAATGTTCCATGTGACCAAGGTACATGTAAGTTGATGTTAAAAGAGTGGTGTTATGTCATGGGAACTGTCACCGTTGCGGGGCATTTGTGTTTGTAAACACACCTGACTTGTTTTTTTTTTAATTTAGAACAGTTAATTGAAAGAAAAATTGGTTTTCTTACCTGAAACAAGCCTGTGCGAATCGACACACTTACTGCAACGTGCAGTATGGAAGCTAGTCTGGTTCTGGAGTACCAACAGATTCTGAACAGTACAATTCTAATGTGGAACCAGACTACTTGGACACTATTGCCAAGTTGTTTTCGGCAATTTCATGTTTATCGACTTCACTTGTAACCCCAAATATCCCTCAAATATCAAACCCTGCCCTCTTTCCACAAAATTAATCCTGCAGTTATTCAAAATTGTGTTTGGAATCCAAAAGTCGGCTTCTAAATCACTCTTCATTAACGAATCAGTGACGTTCTACCAAACCAGCTTGTGTTTATTGGAAAGATGTACATTGTAAACAAGCGAGGGCCCACTTTTAAAACTAGTCGCCATGTTCATCTGCTTTGTTGCAGTCATTGTCTTTACCCGATCCTCAAAAATCAAAACCCTGCCCTCTTTCCAAAAAATTAATCCTGCAGATATACAACATGCTGTCATTGTCATCTACCTACGCGGGTCCCAAATTTTAGAAGTAGATTTTTTTTCCTTATAGGAACGGGGACCGGACAAGCCAAAAAAAAAAAGGAAAAAAAAAAAACAACAACAGAAAATGAGGCGCAAAAACATATTGGTGTTAATTTAATGGGTTGGGGGGGGGGGAGGAGCAAATGTCCCTGTCCACCCTCGAAAAAAATGATCAATCGGGAAAATGCTGGAAAATGTAGGATTTTTTTTGGGGGGGGGGGGGAAATGGGCTTTGCCCCCTTTTTTGATTTGGTGTGTAGCAGCCGACAGAAAACAGGATTGGACAATTGTTTTGGGAATCTGTTTTACTAGGTAAAATAACTAAAAGTATAAACATTAAACATTACTCCAAAAGAGGTCTTATTATCCTGCATTAACAGAGGACTTTAGTACGGCCTATAATTCTTGGTAAATGCATGAGGGCTTTGTGTAGGACGTAGCAGTTGAAATATGAAATTTGGGTTAGTAATTTTCTTAAGCAACATATTTTAAACAATTTTATCAGGTTCTCAGATTCGCTATTAAAATGGTTGCTACTGAATTAAATGTTGGATGCCTTTATTATTGGTCCAGACATTTAGTGACAGTTTCAGGAGGTAGGCCTACTCCGAAGTATTATTCATCAGCATTATTTTGGTCTAACGAGGAATTGCATAGCTTCTTATAATGCCGGTATTAAAATACCACAAGATACAATTTGTATCAGGCATGCAACTTTTCCTCAGATCAGCTGATTTCTTCTTTTTGACCTCCCATTTGTGTCATTAAAAATAGAAAAACACTGTACAAAGTCTTGGACAGATTTGAATTTCCTTTTTTTGTGACTTACCAGTTGCATGCCTGGTATATATAGCAATTCAATCTACCTTGCCGTATTGCATGTTGTATTATACCAAGGTATGTAGGCTTATCCACTTCCGTGTTGACTAAAGGCTCAAAGGGTAACTAATTTACATTGAATATATGTGGAGCTGAGAATAACACTTGTAAACACTTGAAATCGCGTCATTCGATAAGGAAATAAGTCAGCCACTGACTCGTCAACTTGGTGCACCATTGCATCATGGCAGACCAAAAACAAAACTCTTCAGTGTGGACTTGAGAACTTTTGGGGAAAACCTCGCTGTATTTGTGCATATTGCTAGGACAAATATTGGGTTTGATATCGCTGCGCGATTTGTCAGGATTTAAAACTGAACATTTAAATTTTTTAATTTAAGATTATGTTATGATTATTATCTTCATATTGAGATATATAAAATATTGAAATACATGGTTTATTTCATATGGAGGAAATCAGGAAATTGCTTGCATGTGACAGAATATCGAATCATTAACTCTTAAGGATATCGAATCATTAACTAAGTAAAGGTTGAGTTGATGCCATATAAGGAGATTGATCCAGAGATTAATTTGCATAATGTAGTTCCGTCAAGTGGTCATGAGATCGGTGGGCGTAGCAGCTGCAGTGCGTCAGTGTTGTCTTGGATGTCTGTGAATCAACCCGCTCTGAACTTAACTGTAAGTTTTGCTATGGTTTAATTTTTTTTCAGTTTCATGGATTATAGTAAATGTTGAATTACCTATTACTATTAGTGCGTTTTGCTGTTGTACATTTTGTATATTGTAATCATCTCATTTGTGACAGTCAATAAGAGTTGTGACTGACTCTGGTCTTGGTCTTTGGACAGTTTTACGAGACTTGCTCTTTTATGTCGTGTATGTCACATATGCAGTCTGGCAGCACTCCATGTGAACAGCGAAAGTGATTGTTTTTCTTTTGTCACATTACCACAATTTTAATTCTACGATCTTTATAGCCTTTCTGCATCAGTTGTGAATAGGATTAGTGCCCTCTGAGATCATTTTAACAATTAAGTTTTGTCTTTCCTTGTTTTGTCTTTCCTTTACAAGTATTCACAAGTTTACCTACCAAGAGCAAAATGGGACACAACTTTTCATTCATTGTTGACATACATGTACAGGATTTTTTTTCGTTGGGCAGGAGATGCAAAGTACAATGGATGCACAATCTAAAGAAGCCAGCCAACAGACTGATGTCCCTACAGGTACATGTACCACGATGCATCAGGAGGCTCAGGTACCTACCCCCTCAGCTGCAACAGGTGAGTAGGAGCTAGACCAGATGCTTGGGGTCAATTAAGGAGGGAGGGGTCAAATGTTTTTGCGTCAGGTCAGCAAGTTGGCAGCCAGAAACCCTGGTACATTGAATAATTTCCTGGGTTAATTTTACCCAAGCGAGGGTGAAAACTGCAATTACCCCAAATTGGGTTGTCTTTTACCTAACTGTTTGGGTAAGAATTTTAAATTCAACCAAAACTTAATTGTGGTCAAACAAGACCAAATTAAATTTAGCCTTGTAATGACCACAACTTTTTGGTTGAATTTAACAGAAATTATAACCCAAAACAATTGGGCTGTTGGGTAGGCCTAAAAGACAACCCAGTTTTGGGTAGTTGCAGTTTTCACCCTTGCTTGGGTAAAATTAACCCAGGTAATGTTTCAGTGTAACTCTGGTTATTAGTTTTTGGTCTATTGAGCGTGATTTCCATAGTAAATAGTATTCCTATTGTTATCATTTTGTTCAGAACCACATTTAGATGACAAAACTCTGCTCAAGGTCGCTGAGGGGCTTGCTAAAACATGGATAAACACTGGCAGTTAAGGAACTGGGCTTTACGACAATACAGCTTGAGACTATTGAGACGAAATACCAAAACGACATCATAAGGCAGGGTCTGGAAATGCTTGTAACATGGAGACGGGCCCAGTCCACCAGTAATGAACAGCAGAGGACCACATTGTGCACAGCATTGAAGAACATAGAAAGAGCAGATATTGCCGGATTTCTGAATGGTAAATACATGTCTTTGCTCATTGGGCATTGTAAAAAAGAATTATGTTACTTGCATAAATTATAAATGTCTCTTCGCATTGTGTGCGTGGTATGTCAAAATGACAATTGTCTGTGTTGACATGACAATTATGTCAGGTCAAATTATGTTCGCCTTCTACATAATGACAAAGTGGTTTGTCATCAAAGTTGTACTTACACTCTTGAAAGTCCTGGGTCAGATTTTACTCGGAGTCTGATTTAGATTTGACCTGACACACTTCTGGGTCAAAATGACAAATACCTCGGGTCAATTAACTCAGAGGGAGATGATGAAGTGTCATTTTTGACTCGGGAGAAGTGTCAAGTCAAATCTGACCCGGATTCGGGTTGAATCTGACCCGGGACTTTTCAGAGAGTATATGATTTGCCGATTGTGCATCTGCAAACATTTTCAATTGACAAAGTATTGAAAACTTCAAATGTGTACACTGTACCTCCCTCCGCATTGTGTTTCTGCCATATATAAAAAAGGCTCATAAACTTTAAAAAAAAAAAAAGGCTAAAAAGTTCTTTATTGAGTCGCACATTAAGTTTCCATTTGTATGTAAATGAATAGATGAGCGAAATGGCTGGGCAAAATTTGAAGGATTATTCACACGCAGTTAGGATCATGAGCTGTTGGGCAAAGATGATTTTCAATCAGAATTGAACGATTGAGATGTTACTTATTTGGAGTGTAGTGATTATCGTAGTTATTTTTTGTGGGATAATCTTTTCACCAGCTGTTACTTCCTTTTGTCTGTTTCATTCAGCTGCTACCGGAAAAGGGGATGTCACCACGTCTTCACCAAATGCCAATCCATCTAGCCCAAGTCCCTCACCCATTCCTTCCACACAAGCTTCAGGTATTCATTACTTAACCAATTACAGCTAATGTGAGACCAAGTCAACGTGACGCACTAGGTGGAAAAAAAACATTGGTTTTTTTTTAAAGTGAAGGACTTCTTTAAAACGCAAATATGACCTGTGAAATGGGGTCAGATCGCTATTGGCGGTGATGATTGCAGATGGATGTCCGCGTGGTACATGTACATCTATTTACATAGGGTTTCCTGATACAGTGCGATTTATAAATAATTACTCTGGATTTTTTATCATTTTCTTTTCCTGCGACCTTTACTTTTCTGATAAAAGTTTGGAGTAAAATTCATACTTTAAAAAAAAATGTCGGTGGCTAGAACATCACCTATGACTGTGTTTTTATCACCAAAGGGTGCTGTTATCCAACTAAATATGTTTATTTACGCCGCTCACAGTATTTGAACTCGGACAACACGTGACAAGTTTAAGTGTAAGAAACAGAAACCAACTGATGTATTGTCCATTTGTTTATAGATACACTGTATTGTTTCCTCGATGTATACTTGCCAAATAACGCCCCTAAGTATGTTTGTCATATCTGAAAAAAAGGCTAAAGGAACCTTATTAAAGATGCATCTTAATTTTGCGTTATACATGAATTGAAGGAACGATATATGACTTGTTTAGGGTTTAAGGAATTGGCAAGAGATTGTTGTTACTATCTTAGTCAACCTTGGGATAATGATGGTCGATCAAGTTTTTTGCACACTTGCAGGTACCAGCTTTTTGTATGTATTTTGTTACCAGCTTTATGTATTTTCGTCGATGTAAAACTTCAATGTACTCCATAAGGCAACAGTACAAAAGCCAAAACATTCATTATTTATTTTTTTGGCAGATTTATTTTGAGCACTGCGTTACTGCCGGACTGGAAATCCATTAATTTCCTTTACAAGTTTTCTCTGTTGATAATGACTGCTCATTCCGTTTCAGATGTTTTATTGAAGCAATGCATGTTGTTTGTTTTGATCTGAATAGGAGTGCCTGCACCCAGACCTCAGCATAGTCAGAGACCGGACCAAGAACCAAGGCTGAGGGCTCCTAGCTACCAAGATGTTGGTAACAAGACTAGGAACATTTTGAAGGAATTTTATAAAACAACAGGCAGTTATATTCAGTTGTTGCATGAGGTTGATAATGACCAAAAGCACATTGCTGATATATACACTAAAGTACAGTTAGAAACACGAGAAGGGGTAGCAGTTGTCACTACAGGAGAAACTGTTAGAAAAAAGGGGTCAGAAAGGAGAAATTGTAAACTCCACAGAGTATGACAAAATATTCAGTTTAAGGACAAGAACTGGGGAACTCATCACACGCCTTATTTTCGTTGGCATGGGAGGTGTTGGGAAGTCAACCATTTTTGATAGGATTGCATACGACTGGGCAAGCGAAATACTGAAGAGTTTAAGCTTGTCTTTCGTTTAAAGATGTTTGCCCTGTCGCAAGAATCTGATCTTGTTGATTCCTTCGATCAACTTCTAGATGAAGATTCAGGAATAGCCAAAGATGAACTTGATCAATTCATCCTGGCCAACCCAAATGAGGTCTTGATTCTTTTGGATGGTTTTGATGAAATGATGACCAAAACACTCAACGTGGACTCATTCGGTTCTATCCTAAAAGCACTCAATAGAACAAAGTATCGGAAATGTGTAATCTGTGTATCAACACGCCCCTCTCATCTTGATACACTGATGTCAAAATCACTTGTCCAAAATCCTTGCACACACGTGGAAGTTCTGGGGTTTACAGACGATGGTGTTAATGAATACGTTCGGAAATTCTGTGACAAAGATCCTGATAGTGGCAATGCGCTAATCCAAACCATTGAATTGTCTCGCGTGCTGCATGATTTTGCAAAAAATCCTATGTTGTTGATGCTTATGTGCTCATTGTGGAGGGAGAATAATAAACTCCCAGAAACACTTTCACGCCTCTTCAATAGGGCAGTTGAGCACATGTTCACAAGAAAAGACAAAAACAAGAAAACACCTGCGGATGCAAAAACGAGAACGTTGGATGTATCAAAAGAATTGATTGCAATAGGAAAAACTGCGTTGCGTGGATTCATGCGTGCTGACCAGAAATTCTCATTTCAAGAAGATGAGTTTGAACCGAATGCGCTGCGCCTGGCACTGAAAGTGGGCATTCTTACCCAGCAGAGTGTTATCAAAAACAGTAAATCTCACAACAGCATACAATTCATGCACAAGACAATTCAGGAATATTGTGCCGCGAAATACTTGCAGAGTTTGAACAAACCCAGATTGCTTGCGTTTGTGAAGAAATTCAAATTTCGGTTGCATGTGTCTCAATTGTGTTCAACAATTGAGGGTGTTGTTTCGAATGAGTTTCTCTTTCGTTTTTGTTGTGGTGACAATAAGAGGTGCATGACCCATATCGTGAACTTACTTAACCGTAAGTTCAATAAGGATGAGCCAAGGTACCAATCAGATGTAGTACAAGTGATTAGTCGAAATTGCTTTTTTGAAAGCCAGTCAGAAAAGGCCCCACAGTGTCTCACCAGCGACTCACATATCTCATCAGCTATCAATGTGGGTAACAATAATGATTTACGTAATCTCGTGTACCTTCTTGAAATCATCTGTAAGTCCGCAGACAGCCGCAAGGCACAACTGTCACGCGTTAAAACCATTGAGGTTTCTCGCGTTTCTTCGGTCAGAGATTTAGCCTCTGCCCTGGGTTACATGGAAAGCGTCAGGAATCTGAGCCTCTACAGTTGTCCTTTAGCGGAGGGAGATCTTGAGAAAACCCTGACATCACTAAAATGCCACCAACTCTTGACTGATCTTTGTATAAAGGGGGACAGTACATTGGGAGGTAGAGCTGTAGAATGGGCCCCTCATATCAAACACTTGACAAGCCTCAACACACTTGAGATAAGTAAGTGCGAACTACAGGGAACAGACATTGAACACATTGCCTCGTCTGTCAGTGACATGCCGAACCTGACTGACTTGATCCTCACTGACAACCCGGCGCTTGGGGTGTTGACTGAGAAATGGTCCCATTTTTTGTTAAGAGTACGGCAAAAGCACACGCTGGACCTTAGCAATTTCTCACTTACATGGGAAGATATCGATACGATTTCTGTTGTGTTAGACCACATTCCCACACTGACTAACTTGAACCTTACCGGTAACACAGCGTTGGGCAGATCGGCTACCTTGTGGGCCGAGAATTTGTTGCAATTTATGAACATACAGACGTTGAACCTGAGTAATTGTACATTACAATGGAGAGACATCGACCACATCGCCTGGGCTGTAGGTGCCATGCCAAGCCTGACTGACTTGATCCTCTCTGACAACCCGGGGCTTGGGATGTCGACTGAGAAGTGGTCCCATTATTTGTTAAGAGTAAAGCAAAAAGACACGCTGGACCTGAGCAATTCCTCACTAACGTGGGAAGATATCGATACGATTTCTGTTGTGTTAGACCGCATTCCCACACTGACTAACTTGAACCTTACCGGTAACACAGCGTTGGGCGGATCAGCCGACTTGTGGGCCAAGGACTTGTTGCGATTTACGAACATACAGACGTTGAACCTGAGTAATTGTACATTACAATTGGCAGACATTGAACACATCGCCTCGGCTATAAGTGGCATACCCACACTGACTAACTTGAGCCTTACCGGCAACACAGCGTTGGGCGGATCGGCTAACTTGTGGGCCAAGAACTTGTTGCGATTAATGAACCTACAGACGTTGAACCTGAGTAATTGTACATTACGATGGACAGATATCATGCACATTGCCTGGGCTTTAGGTGCCATGCCAAGCCTGACTGACTTGATCCTCACTAACAACCCGGCGCTTGGGGTATCGACTGAGAAGTGGCCCCATTATTTGTTAAGAGTAAAGCAAAAAGACACGCTGGACCTGAGCAATTCCTCACTAACATGGGAGGATATTGATACGATTTCCGTTGTGTTAGACCACATTCCCACACTGACAAACTTGAACCTTACCAGTAACACAGCGTTGGGCAGATCGGCTAACTTGTGGGCCGAGAACTTGTTGCAATTTACGAACCTAAAGACGTTGAACCTGAGTAATTGTACATTACAATGGAGAGACATCGACCACATTGCCTGGGCTGTAGGTGCCATGCCAAGCCTGACTGACTTGATCCTCTCTGACAACCCAGGGCTTGGGATGTTTACTGAGAAGTGGTCCCATTATTTGTTAAGAGTAAAGCAAAAAGACACGCTGGACCTGAGCAATTCCTTACTAACGGGGGAAGATATCGATACGATTTCTGTTGTGTTAGACCGCATTCCCACACTGACTAACTTGAACCTTACCGGTAACACAGCGTTGGGCGGATCAGCCGACTTGTGGGCCAAGGACTTGTTGCGATTTACGAACATACAGACGTTGAACCTGAGTAATTGTACATTGCAATTGACAGACATTGAACACATTGCCTCGGCTATAAGTGGCATACCCACACTGACTAACTTGAGCCTTACCGGCAACACAGCGTTGGGCGGATCGGCTAACTTGTGGGCCGAGAACTTGTTGCGATTAATGAACCTACAGACGTTAAACCTGAGTAATTGTACATTACAATGGACAGATATCATGCACATTGCCTGGGCTTTAGGTGCCATGCCAAGCCTGACTGACTTGATCCTCACTGACAACCCGGCGCTTGGGGTATCGACTGAGAAGTGGTCCCATTATTTGTTAAGAGTAAAGCAAAAAGACACGCTGGACCTGAGCAATTCCTCACTAACATGGGAGGATATTGATACAATTTCCGTTGTGTTAGACCACATTCCCACACTGACAAACTTGAACCTTACCAGTAACACAGCGTTGGGCAGATCGGCTAACTTGTGGGCCGAGAACTTGTTGCGATTTACGAACCTAAAGACGTTGAACCTGAGTAATTGTACATTACAATGGAGAGACATCGACTACATTGCCTGGGCTTTAGGTGCCATGCCAAGCCTGACTGACTTGATCCTCACTGACAACCCGGCACTTGGGGTATCGACTGAGAAGTGGTCCCATTACTTGTTAAGAATAAAGCAAAAGCACACTCTGGACCTGAGCAATTCCTCACTAACATGGGAGGATATTGATGTGATTTCCGTTGTGTTAGACCACATTCCCACACTGACAAACTTGAACCTTACCAGTAACACAGCGTTGGGCAGATCGGCTAACTTGTGGGCCGAGAACTTGTTGCGATTTACGAACCTAAAGACGTTGAACCTGAGTAATTGTACATTACAATGGAGAGACATCGACCACATTGCCTGGGCTGTAGGTGCCATGCCAAGCCTGACTGACTTGATCCTCACTGACAACCCGGCGCTTGGGGTATTGACTGAGGAGTGGTCCCGTTACTTGTTAAGAGTGAAGGAAAAACACACGCTGGACCTGAGCAATTCCTCACTAACATGGGAGGATATTGATATGATTTCCGTTGTGTTAGACCACATTCCCACACTGACAAACTTGAACCTTACCAGTAACACAGCGTTGGGCAGATCGGCTTACTTGTGGGCCAAGAACTTGTTGCGATTTACGAACCTGAAGACATTGAACCTGAGTAATTGTACATTACAATGGAGAGACATCGACCACATTGCCTGGGCTGTAGGTGCCATGCCAAGCCTGACTGACTTGATCCTCACTGACAACCCGGCGCTTGGGGTATCGACTGAGGAGTGGTCCCGTTATTTGTTAAGAGTAAAGCAAAAAGACACGCTGGACCTGAGCAATTCCTCACTAACGGGGGAAGATATCGATACGATTTCTGTTGTGTTAGACCGCATTCCCACACTGACTAACTTGAACCTTACCGGTAACACAGCGTTGGGCGGATCAGCCGACTTGTGGGCCAAGGACTTGTTGCGATTTACGAACATACAGACGTTGAACCTGAGTAATTGTACATTGCAATTGACAGACATTGAACACATTGCCTCGGCTATAAGTGGCATACCCACACTGACTAACTTGAGCCTTACCCGCAACACAGCGTTGGGCGGATCGGCTAACTTGTGGGCCAAGAACTTGTTGCGATTTACGAACCTACAGTCGTTGAACCTGAGTAATTGTACATTACGATGGACAGATATCATGCACATTGCCTGGGCTTTAGGTGCCATGCCAAGCCTGACTGACTTGATCCTCACTGACAACCCGGCACTTGGGGTATCGACTGAGAAGTGGTCCCATTACTTGTTAAGAATAAAGCAAAAGCACACTCTGGACCTGAGCAATTCCTCACTAACATGGGAGGATATTGATGTGATTTCCGTTGTGTTAGACCACATTCCCACACTGACAAACTTGAACCTTACCAGTAACACAGCGTTGGGCAGATCGGCTAACTTGTGGGCCGAGAACTTGTTGCGATTTACGAACCTAAAGACGTTGAACCTGAGTAATTGTACATTACAATGGAGAGACATCGACCACATTGCCTGGGCTGTAGGTGCCATGCCAAGCGTGACTGACTTGATCCTCACTGACAACCCGGCGCTTGGGGTATCGACTGAGGAGTGGTCCCGTTACTTGTTAAGAGTGAAGGAAAAAGACACGCTGGACCTGAGCAATTCCTCACTAACATGGGAGGATATTGATATGATTTCCGTTGTGGTAAGCCACATTCTCACACTGAAATACTTGAGCCTTGCCGGCAACCAAGCACTGGGCAGATCGGCTGAGAAGTGGGCCAAGGAATTGCTGAAAATGGGGCAATTAGATAGGCTGGACCTGAGAGTTTGCAATTTGACACCGACAGACATTGAACACATTGCCTCGGCTGTAGGTGACATGCCCAGACTGACTAACTTGGACCTAGCTTTCAACAAAGCATTGAGCAAATCAGCTGAGTTGTGGGCCAAGGAATTGCCGAAAATGAGGCAATTAAATTGGCTGGACCTGAGATTTTGCAATTTGACACCGACAGACATTGAACACATTGCCTCGGCTGTAGGTGACATGCCCAGACTGACTAACTTGAACCTTGCTTTCAACAAAGCATTGAGCAAATCAGCTGAGTTGTGGGCCAAGGAATTGCCGAAAATGAGGCAATTAAATTGGCTGGACCTGAGCTTTTGCGATTTGACACCGACAGACATTGAACACATTGCCTCGGCTGTAGGTGACATGCCCAGACTGACTAACTTGGACCTTGCTTTCAACAAAGCATTGAGCAAATCAGCTGAGTTGTGGGCCAAAGAATTGCCGAAAATGAGGCAATTAAATTGGCTGGACCTGAGATTTTGCAATTTGACACCGACAGACATTGAACACATTGCCTCGGCTGTAGGTAACATGCCCAAACTGACTGCCTTGAACCTTGCTTCTAACAAAGCACTGAGTGAGTCGGCTTGTGCCAAGGAATTGGCGAAGGTGACACACTTAAACTGGCTTGACCTGGGAGATTGTAACTTCCAACCATCAGACTTTGAACTTATTGCCTATGCTGTGGTGAGATGCGCAGACTGACTGACTTGTGCATTGGTGGCAACCGGGAATTGTTTGATAAGTTAAAGTCCCGCTTCCCATTGCTTAAGGTTCACATGGAACCTCTCCCGCTGTGAGTTACTACTTTTATAACGAAATCG